TTGCATACCCCTGTTGATAGCAGCATAATTAAAAATAACAATCTTGGAAGTAGCCTATGTATGTCTATCAACAGCTGAATGAATAAAGTTAAGTCAAATTTATATACAATTGAGTACTCTCCTGCCATAAAGAAAGAAAAATGAGTCATTTGTAGAAGAATGGATTCACTTTGAGACCATAATATTTGGTGATAAAAAGTAAACACACAAGCTTAAATATCTCAAGGTTTTTTTTATATGAGAAACCCAAAGTATAAATAAAGAATTAATGGCTGGGGATTTAGCTCCGCGGTACCGCTGCCTGCTCGCAAGTGCAAAGTCCCGAGTTCAATCCTCGCTACCAAAAAAAAAAAAAAGAATTAATGATTGATCATTGAGAAAAGGCAGATTGACTTTTTTGGGTTTTTTTTTGGGGGGGGCGGTTTTCAAGGGATTGAACTCAGGACCTTGCACTTGTGAGGCAGGTGGCAGAACCACTGAGCTAAAAATCCCTAGCCCAGATAGATTTTTTTTTTTAAATGGGAAGAAGACCATGAGATGGAGAGAGTGGGAAAGGTAGAGGAGAGGAAGGGGATAAAAAAAGAATTAAGAATTACATGTACCATCCCCCCATGAGGAATGTAAACAGGTATGTACTGCAAACAAGTATTACTAAAAATAAAGAAAACTGAGAAAAAAAAAATACAAAATCCTAAAAGTATAGAAGCTTTGTGTTACTCTTTAATGCCCGCAGTCTCCTTTAACCCATGCCACTGTCCATGACTCCCAAAATGCACGTATCTGTTCTGTTCCCAGAGTATTAATAATTTCAAATTGTCATGCAAATCTAATCATACAGTTTTTTAAATGAAAATATAAACAAAATTCAGACATTCATTTATAGCTCAACTAGAGAGAAGCTTCAAATTTTAAAAATCAGAAAAGAAATAAGAGATTACAACTGATGTTACAAAAATCAAAACCGTCCTAAGAGATCTGGGGATGTAGCTGTGGCAAGCACAAAGTCCTGGGTTCCATCTCTGTTCTGGTTTTGTGGGGGGGGGATCCTATGACCAACTATATAGCAGTAGAACCTAAATGAAATGGCCAACTTTTTAGAAGCATGCAGTCTACCAAGACTGATTTATGATGAAATAGAATATCTCAACAGACAGGAATGATCATGGAGATTAAATCAGTGATAAAAAAAAATTCCTGAAAGATAGAAAGAGAAAAACCCAGCCCAGGACCTGATAGCTTCACAGGTGAACTGTAGAAAACATTTTAAAAATAAGTAATATCAGTTTTCAAAATCTTCTAAGTAATTGCAGAGGAGAGGATGCTGTGAGACCATTTTATGATAGGAACAGTACATCTTGTCCACAGCTCTCTGTGCTAGGTCAGTAGAGTAGGTTCCTTACTGAAGAAAATACTGAGTCAGTTGTGAGAGAGAAAGTTTATTAAGACTCACAGAATGAAAGCATTAATAGATAACAGGGAAGAGCTGCTTAGGGTTCCAACAGTACTACTGGGAAGACCCATAAGAGGGACATAGCTTGTAAGAGTGCCACTCAGTAAATTGTCAAGGGTGCATCTCAGCAGATTGAGCAATGGGTACATACAACACCACCTCTCAGGAGGTCCAGTTGTCACCGTCTAGACAACTATTTACCTGTATTCAGAGTGTCTGGTGACAGCTGCCTCAACTAGAATCACTTGTTCTCTCTACGGTTCTTGTTCTGTACCTCATTTACTACAGAGAGATGGGTTTTATACATTAAGCAGCAGATGACTTAGCACTTGTGCAGGAGGCAGTTTCTGCAGATAACCCCAGTTTGTTTTGTTCTGTGCACTTTCAGTGATATTCAGGATGATGGTCTGGTTGTTGTCTGTTTATAATGTCCCTTTATTGACAAGAGTCTTAGGAATACAAAAAGTATCTGAAGTACATCTTGCTAAATGCTCCATTTTTCCGCAGGGATGATTCACATCTGTGATACCAAAACCAGAGAAAGACTCTTACAAGAAAATAAAATTAAAGACCAACATATGTGCAGTGCATAGATGTAAAAATCTTTAACAGTATAGTAGTAGCAAACTAAATTCAACAGCATATTAAAAGGATCCTTCACCATGATCAAGTGGAATTTATCCTGGGAACTACTTGTTCAACAGATGGAGATCAGTAAATGTGTAGGATGCATTAAAGAGTTCAGTATAAAAACCATGTAACCCCACAAATTCAGGCAGAAAAAGCATTTGACAGGGAAACAGAAAAAATATGGCAGAGCTATGAGTGCCAGCAGTACATCTTCTCCAAGACAAAGTGTGTATTTGGAATCAAATTTCTCTATTTGGAGAGGAATCAAAAGTGAAAAGGGATTGCTTGGAACCAGGAGGGACCTGACAAAGGAAAAGTAGACAGGGTTAAATTATACAGAAGAAATAGAACACATTCACATTGCAGGAGAGGAGAGCCCCTGCAGACCAAGCCACTGAGAGTGACTGGCTGGACAACAACTGGGAGATACAGTTGTACCCTTGTTCATGAACTTAGTTTGTTCCACAGTTTTGGTAAAGATGGTCATGTTTGTGTTTGTGTAAGAAAGATCGCTGTGGTCATGTTTGTCACCCTATGCAGAGTTCACAAACAAAAACAAACTTTGCAAAATGCTTTTGTTTGTGAACCAAATTGTTTGCAAACAAAATCAAGGTACAGCTCTAAAGTGAAACTAAAAGCTTTCCACTCACTGAGAACTAGAGAACCATCTTGGTCTGAGAGAATCAGCGGCATTTGGAACTGGCTAAAATCAAGGTACAGCTCTAAAGTGAAACTAAAAGCTTTCCACTCACTGAGAACTAGAGAACCACCACCTTGGTCTGAGAGAATCAGCCGCATTTGGAACTGGCAAAGAAAAAGCGGAATACTGTGCTGCTCAGAGTGTGGCCTGCTACAGGCAGCAGTTGGTAAGTGACCTCCATACAGTGCCCATTGCCACAATCACAGACCAAAAGCTGGGGAGACGACATTGTATGGAAGGGCTCATTGTTCTAACCTGGGTCACAAAGCAGCCCCTTGGCTCCGAGCCACTTTCCACACTGTCCTGTTTCCAGAGTGACTGAGAAAGGACAGAAACAGAAGGCATCCAGTGGTTGGAGAGCAAGCTGGAGGGAATCCTGCTGCAAGGCTGGAGCTTGCTGGTGAACATGGACCTGGCTGCAGTGGCTGGAGGCCAGGTTCAACCTGAGTTACAGGATTGGAAGGTTGCCTTGGTGCCCTATTCCCACTCTGTAGATATTTTCTTAAAAAAAGACCAAAGAAATAACTAGAATACTCAACATCACTAATCATTTAAAAATGCAAATTAAAGCAATGAAGCTTAGTGAGGTGGCACATGGCTGTAATCCCACCACTCCAGAGGATGAGGCAGGAGGATTGCCATGAGTTCAAGGCCAACCTGGATTACGTAGCAGGATCCTGTTGCAAAAAACCCACAATGAAATGTCACCTCGAGCCTGTTAGGATGGATGTTATCCAAAAGACAGAGTGTTGGTGAAGATGTGAAGGAAAAACATCCCTTATACAATGTTGGTGAAAATGTAAATTAGTAGAGCTGTTATGGAAAACAGCATTGATTTTCCTCAAAAATTAAAAATACAATTACCAATTGGTTTGGCAGTGCTGGTACTAGGTAGCCATCCAACAAAGAGAAATTGGATTGTAAAATATTACTTTATTCCTATTGGCACGTTCACAAGAGCTTTAATCACAGCGTGGAATCAACCTAAGTATCTATTTCCTGATGGATGGAAAGTGAAAAGATGGAATATATGCAAAATGGAATACTAGTTGGCTTTAAAAAAGAAGGAAGTTGTGTCATTTGTGACAAGGTGCATGAAGCTGGAGGACATTATGTTAAGTGAAATAAGCCAGACATGGAAGTACCCCATATTCTCACATGTGGAAACTAAAAGGATCAAAACTCATAGCAATGGAAGGTAGAATGTCGGTTACCACTGGTTGAGGGGATAGGGAATAGACTAGAGATAATAGACTTTAAAAATTCACTGAGAGAAGAGAAATTAATTCAGTGATTCTAAAGTTCAAGGTAGTAACTGTTGTTAATAGTGTATTATATATTTGAAAACTGGTAGTAGAGTAGATTTTGTGTTCTCACCATAAAAATATATGTAGGGTAATAGATAAGTTTATGAATTTGATTTAACCATCCTGCATGCATAGTTTATGTGTATTAAAATATAATGTAGCTGGGTGTGGTGGTGCACGCCTTTAATCCCAGCACTACGGAGGCTGAGGCAGAAGGATCGCTGTGAGTTCCAGGTCAGTCTCAATTACATAGTGAGACCCTAACTCAAAAAAGCAAATAAAACAAAAAACAGTGTACACCACAAATGTATGTACTTTTTATTTGCCTAATTAATTTTTTTTAAATAAAGTTTTGTAGGGCCATCGATTTAGCTCATTGGTGCTGTTGCCTACCTTGAAAATGCAAGGTCCTGAGTTTGAGCCCTGGTACCAAAAAATAAATAAAATAAAATAAACTTTTATAGTATGAGACAATTTGAGAGTTTTTGGTGCAAGTAGACTCATTGATTTAGAAATATAATTTGATTTGTGTGTTAAACCTAACCACTGATATACAGTTTATTAAAATGTTAACTTAAAACTATCCTTTTGAGTTGTCTTCTTTTTTGGAGACAGGGTCTTGCTATGTAGTTTGGGGTGACCTTGAACTCAGAATGTATGGCCTCAAGCTAAGTATGCTGGCCTCAAACTCACAGCAATCCTCCTGCCTCAGCCTCTCAAATTGCTGGCATTACAGATGTGGGCCACCATGCCTGGCTCACTGATTATTTGAAACAGATTCTACACCAGAGGAAAAGGATGGTAAAAAAACTGTGTGTATTCTACCTGCTTTGTCCCTGAACCAACTCTGTGGCTGTATCATGTTTATTATGATAGAGAAATACTTATCACAAATTTTATAATTATTTTTCAGTATCTCTGCGAGTGTCAATTTGATGACAATCTTAAATTCAAGAATATTATTAATGAGGAAGATGCTGACACTATGCGTCTCCAGCCAATTGGGCGAGACAAAGATGGCCTCATGTATTGGTATCAGTTGGATCAAGATCACAATGTCAGAATGTACATAGAAGAACAAGATGATCAAGATGGCTCTTCATGGAAATGCATTGTCAGGTATCTTTTATTGCAGTCTCTTGACATTTGTTTATATTTTCCTTACTTTGATCACTTCTGTAGTAGAATGTGATCTGTTAGGCAAGCATGGTTCTTTTATGTGGAGTTGATGAATTGGCAGGGCCTGCCCTAGTACCCAAAGAGGTGTTAATAGTAGATGCTTAATTATTCATCAAGTAAATTTAAGTATTTAGAAGTTCGGTACATATTAGGATATAAAACTTGTATGTTCAGAATGCATTTTTAGAGAAAAACAGTATTTGGTTTTTATTCAGCTGTGTTCTATTAGGCATTGCCTTTTTATTTTTAACTTTTAATTTGGCCTGTTCATCTTGACACAATACATCTATGTTTGATGTGCATGAATTACTGGGTTCTGACAAACATTATGCTTTTTCTTGGAGGGCCAGGGATTTATCTTACAGGTGCCGTTGCCTGCCTTGCCAAGCACAAGTTACTGAGTTTGATCTGCAGTATAAAAATTTTTTAATAATGACCTTGACCTTTTTAGTGTTTTTTTTTTTGGTACCAGGGATCGAACTCGGGTCCTTTGTGCTTGCAAGGCAGGCAACAGAACCACTGAGCTAAATCCCCAGCCCTAAATTTTTTAATAATGATGCTGGATCTTTATTCAAAATATTTGTGTCTTTAATTTTTCTGTCTTTGAAACTTTATTATTTAAAAAATGTCCTACAAATTCCCTCAATGTGTATTAATTTTGAAAATATCAGAAGTTCTACAAAGTGAAAACTCATGGATATCTCATTGCTGAGTTAGGTAAAGCTACTTTGACATTAACACTTACCCTTTTTTTTTGCTCCATTTTGATTTTTTGCATTTTTTTTAGTGGTTACTTAATGACTAACAATATTTGTTTAGGTTACAAATGCTCAAGTTTTACTCTCTGAGAACAAATGTTTATTGAATAAATTCATTGGGGATTTTTTTATAAGCAAGTATATAACTATATTAGTCTCCTCCTAGTTAGTGTGTGTGTGTGTGTGTGTGTGTGTGTGTGTGTTAAAGTATTATCTCCTAATTTATAGATAAAAATATATGATAAAGAACAATGATTACTGTTGAACAGTCATACTCAAAACATTTTGTAACATTCACTATTTCAAGCAGAGCATACTCTAATGCACAGTGTGGTATTTTTAAATTAACAGTTATATTTGTTCATCTGCTTACCATCTGTAGGCATATTAATATTATTTTGCTACCCTTAGACTTATTCTCCTATACACTAAAATGAGGATGATACATTCCCAAAACATTGTAAGGCATATATCAAATATGCTGGGACCATAGAACACTCTTAGTAAAGTTGTGTTATTTTCTTCCCATCTCTTTAACTATTAAATTTTCTCACATTTCTAACTTCAAAGGTTGAAACTTAGTTTCTTCATTGAAGAAATATTTATCAAAAAGGTCAGAATTTCATTGATGTTGCTTTCGCCTCTTTTTCACCCTTAACTTTTCCCCAGGTTTAATTTTTATGCTTCTGCTTTTAAAAACAGACCTCTTTTTACCTGTAAATATCTGCTTATTATAAATGAAATAAGCTTATGCTTGTATAAAATAACTAAACACAGTTTTCTCACATTGACAACCACAGATTTCTTTAGTAAAGTGCTAGCAGGTTTTTTTTCATCATCTGGAACATCTATAAATATGTTATTTCTATCTGCAAATGTAGGGAATTTTACCCAAATAATGTAGAAATATTTAGGACCATTCAGAAACCACTGTATTAATTGACTCTAATTTCCACTTATAAATCCAGATTTTAAGCACTTAATGGATCCATTAATATTTATCTCATTAAATATATATATTTATCTTGCATATCAACTTTTGTAATAGGCATTGTGCTAAGCAGTAGGAATATGGCAGTGAATAGTATAGCTCTGGGACCTCTCCCTGGCTTTTAAGCATTGGTTGGTCCATTATATGGAATTTGCTTACATAATATGAATTCTCTAGAAGGACAGTAGTTTACAAATTCTCATTTGGGTGCATTTATGCTTATTATAACTGAGAAGCCTTGTGATATGGCATTTCAGTTAGTTTTAATTCATCAACACAGTGGAACTACTGTTGATAAAAAAAAAATTGTGAGCTTCCTTGGCTCTCATTTTGTGAAGGTTAAGCATTAGAATTAATGTGTTAATTTTGCTTCCCTAAAAAGATCTGTATTGGAGTTGTGGCTCAGTCAAATACTTGCTTAGCATGCTTGAGGCCCTGTGTTTGTTCCCCAGCACTGTGCACAAAAGATATCACTTGGCATTAGTATATTAGTATATTTGGTACTCAAAATAATGTGTGACCCCGCTGAGATCATACCTGGCACAGTATTTAAATTCGTATGCCAAACTCTAAGAAAAACATTAACATGGAATGCCAGGCGTGGTAGCACATGCCTGTAGTCTCAGTACTCGGGAGCCTGAGGTAGGAGGATTGCTGCGAGTTTGAGGCCAACCTGAATTAGTTTGACCTTGTCTCAAAAAAAAAAAAAAAACACATATATATATATATATATGTGTGTGTGTGTGTGTGTGTGTATATATATATATACACATGTGTGTGTGTGTGTGTATAAATGGAAAACCCAAAGAAGATGATTGAATGAAATGAAATGCTTGATCTAGCAGCAATTTAGGGGTAATAGCTTTATCAAACTTTTAAAGTATTAACTTGTAGTAGGCTTTCTTAAGGACTTACATATTATCAGTGGATGTCCATTATGTGAACACAGAATTGCTTTTTTAAAAATATATCGCAGTGAAATTATTGTCTCAAAGCTAATAGTTAATGTCAAAAGCATGTTCTAGTTAAGAATGCAGATTTATGTGCAGTTTAAAAGAAAGAATAATGATTTTTTAACAAGAAATCCTTCAAAAACTTGGTAAGAAAAGAGTAAGTCTCAAAAATTAACATTCAAATACAAGTACAAAAGGAGAAAAAAACAAAAAGGGAAAAACAAAGCATATAGAATCTTGGCTTTTCATTTATGTTGCATATAGATTTTTTTTACAGCTTTTTGTTTTGTTTTGTTTTGGTACCAGGGATCAAACTCAGGTCCTTGAGCTTGTGAGGCAGGCAGTGGAACCCCTGAGCTAAGTCCCCAGCCACATATAGATTTTTTAAAAAACTTATTGAATATGTATTTTACTAGTGAAATGAAAACCGTGCTTCTTTTGCTTAAAAGTATTTTAAAAATATGACACCATTATTTTCTTGGAGATCAGCTGGTATTGGAAATGTTTCTGCCTAATCCTACTTGATTTTATAACAAAAATTATGCAGTCTTTTGAATTTGGATTCTTTGTTTGTTTTTTGGAATTCTGTTTTTGTTTTTGTGGTACTAGGGATTGGACACAGGGCCTTCTTACTGAGCTACCTCTTTGGCCCTTTTTTTTGTTGTTGTTGAGAATTACCTGAAATAGGCTTGGATTTGCAATCCTCCTGTTTTAGCCTCCTGGAGTTCTGGGATTACAGGCATTCAGCACCATGCATAGTTTATAATTTTTTTTTAAACCTAATAAGTTAGCCTTTTTGATATATTTAGAAATATAACTAAGCATTGCAATTTAAAACTCAAATGAAAGCCAGACATGTAGCCCATGCCTGTAATTTTAGCCTTCTAAAATGTTGCAGCAGAAAGATTGAAAGTTCAAGCATAGCTTGATCAATTTAACACTTTAGTAAGACTCTATCTCAAAATACATTTTTAGAATTGTTTTGTGGATGTAGCTCAGTGAAAAGGGCCTGGGTTCAATCCCCAAATACTGCTAGGTAAATGAATGAATGGATGAATGATGAACAAACACTGTATAAAAAAGGTATAGTTGTAATATTTAATCTTCTACTAAAAATTTAAAATCATAAACACAATTTTAAAACTTCTTTAAGGGCCGAGAATTTAGCTCAGTGGTGCCACCCCACCTCGAAAGTACAAGGTCTTGAGTTCAATTTCTGGTAATGGGCGAACACACACACACAAAAACTTCTGTTAAATAGTAAGTTCGCCTTTTTTTTTTTTTTTTTTTTTTTTTTTTTTTGATACCAGGTATTGAAGTCAGGACCTTATGCTTGGGAGGCAATTGGTGGCACCACTGAGCCAAATCTCCAGCCCACAGCCTCGATTTCTACTGTTGCAAAATTAATAGTATAAATATGAGATGAATTGTAAGCAATTCATTCATGTATGTAGAATTATATTTTAAGTCAAAGATTTATTATGTGATTTACAGGGGAATAAAGTAAAAATTGTTAAATTTTATTAAACCATATGAAATTTTCAACCTTTGAACATTTTGACCTGCATAAATGCCTATTTATATGTTTTAATTAAATGTTAACAACAGTTTTCAATAACAAAAATACTTAAACTCTAGTCAGTGTCTTTTTCCAGTTAATTTTCAAAGCAGAATTTTTCCAGAAGAAAAATATTATAATTGTTTCATCTCCAATTTTGACCCCAATGAAAGAGGATAAAGGCACATGAAAAAGGACTTGATCAGGTGCTTCTTTACATTTAGAGAGTATTGTACAAAGTGCTCGCATAGCAGTCTACTAAGGAAACCAACATTTAACATGGACTGTTGAACATTTGCCTGTATATAAAATATATACAAATGATTAATATTCATATGGATGAAATCTTGTATCATTAATCACAAGAAAATTCTCAGTGAAAACCATAATGAGATATTTCTTTGCTCCACTAGAATGAAAATGATTTGTCAACAACACTAAATGTTAGCAAGGATATATGGACCCTTGATAGCAGAAATGCAAAATGCTATAAGCCCTTTGTGAAACAGTTCAGTAATTTCTTAAAATGGTTAATGAGCTATCCTATGATGTCCCTCCAGTTTCACTCCTATGTAGTAGTGTTAGAGAAATGAAAACATATTTACAAAAAGTCTTGTATGAGAACATTCCTAGCATCTTTATTTTTTTGTATGCGGATCAAATTTGGGACCTTGGGCTTG